AATTTGGGAAACAAGGGCTTGGAAATGTTGGGGAAGGAGGGGTTGGGAATATTGGGAGCGGAGGGGTTGGGAATGTTGGGGAAGGAGGGAGTTGGGAAACAAGGGCTTGGGAATGTTGGGGAAGGACGGGGTTGGGAATATTGGGAGCAGAAGGCTTGGGAATGTTGTGGAAGGAGGAATTTGGGAAACAAGGGCTTGGGAATGTTGAGGAAGGAAGGGGTTGGGAATATCGGGAGCGGAGGGCTTGGGAATGTTGTGGGAGGAGGGGTTTGGGAAACAAGGGCTTGGGAATGTTGAGGAAGGAAGGGGTTGGGAATATTAGGAGCGGAGGGGTTGGGAGTGTTGAGAAAGGAGGAATTTGGGAAAGGAGGGCTTGGGAATGTTGGGAAAGGAATGGGTTGGGAATATTGGGAGCAGAGGGCTTGGGAATGTTGTTGAAGGAAGGGATTGGGATTATTGGGAGCAGAGGGCTTGGGAATGTTGGGGAAGGAAGGGGTTGGGAATATCAGGAGCGGAGGGCTTGGGAATGTTGTCGAATGAGGGTGTTGGGAAACGATGGGTTGGGAATGTTGGGAAAGGAAGGATTTGGGAAAGGAGGGGTTGGGAATGTGGGGGATGGAGGAGTTTGGGAAAGGAGGGCTTGGGAATGTTGTGGAATGAGGGGGTTGGGAAAGGAGAGTTTGGGAATGTTGGGAAAGGAATGGGTTGGGAATATTGGGAGCAGAGGGGCTGGGAATGTTGTGGAAGGAGGGAGTTGGGAAGCAAGGGCTTGGGAACGTTGAGGAAGGAAGGGGTTGGGAATATCGGGAGCAGAAGGCTTGGGAATGTTGTGGGAGGAGGAATTTTGGAAAGAAGGGCTTGGGAATGTTGTGGAAGGAAGAGGTCGGGAAACAAGGGCTTGGGAATGTTGAGGAAGGAAGGGGTTGGGAATATTGGGAGTGGAGGGCTTGGGAATGTTGTGGAAGGAGGAATTTGGGAAACGATGAGTTGGGAATGTTGGAAAAAGAAGGGAAAGGAGGAGTTGGGAATGTTGGGGAAGGAGGCTGTTGGGAAATAGCGGCTTGGGAATGTTGGGGAAGGAAGGGGTTGGAAATATTGGGAGTGGAGGTCTTGGGAATGTTGTGGGAGGAGGGGTTTGGGAAACAAGGGCTTGGGAACATTGGGAAAGGAAGGATTTGGGAAAGGAGGGGTTGGGAATGTTGGGGAAGGAGGGGTTTGGGAAACAAGGGCTTGGGAATGTTGTGGAAGGGGGGGGGTTGGGAAACAAGGGCTTGGGAATGTTGGGGAAGGAGGGGTTTGGGAGACAAGAGCTTAGGAATTTTGGGAAAGGAAGGATTTGGGAAAGGGAGAACTTGGCATGGAGCCAGACTCTCAGGAAAAGCAGGGAGGGCCTGGAAAATCCCATCATTCCTCTCTCCCCTGGATTTGGGAAGACTCCACATGGATCCAAGTGCAGATGAGGGTGGAGGGAGGGGAGGGGGATCCGGGATGATCCCGGGGGGGATCCTCATTCCCTTCCTCATTCCCAAGAAACACCACCAGCTGCGGATCAAGATCCTGGGAGACTGTTACTACTGCATCTGCGGGCTGCCGGAATTCCGGGAGGATCACGCCGTCTGCTCCATCATGATGGGCCTGGCCATGGTGGAGGCCATCTCGTAAGGAATTCCGGGAATTCCGGAGGCGGGGAGGGGGGCAGGAATTCCCGGGATGCAGCTCGAGGGGGATTAATGGGATAAACGCGGAGTTGGAGCTGTTCTCCTTGTTCCCTTCCACCTTCTCCTTGTTCCCTTCCACCTTCTCCTCATTCCCATCCTTGTTCCCCTTGTTCCCTTCCACCTTCTCCTTGTTCTCTTCCACCTTCTCCTCATTCCCATCCTTGTTCCCCTTGTTCCCTTCCACCTTCTCCT